CAACGTCATTGCCAAGAATCAGGTCAGCATCCACTCCCTCATGCTTTGAAACTACCAGGAAGTCCACGCACAGTTCCGGAAGCTGAACTATATCATCATGTTGCTGGACAGTCGCAGCAACAGATCCAACTGACTCCAGGGACGTGCCGTCGATGCCGACCACCCAGTCAGTTGTCGATTCCACCTGATCAGCCAGGCCCACGGCAGTTACTACACTCTCTTTCATCAGAGATCGCGTGCATCCAGTATCCACAACCGCTGCGACTGATATCCAAGAGTCATCATGGCCCTTAACACACACATCAACTTTCAGCAGCTTAGAGCTCTGCCCACCAGTTGATATTGGGATTCCGTCAGCATCAGTAGACACTCCAGCCTGACAATGCCCAGCACTCACAGCCACTGAAGCAGACTCAGTCTTGGCCTTTGGACAATTTCGCCTGATGTGGCCATACTCTTTGCAAGAGTAACACTGTGGCCCTCGTGACTTGCCAGTGGTGTGGCTGTTGCCCTTGGCCTTAGGGCAATTCCTTCTTACATGACCAGGCTCCTTACATGAATAGCACTTGACAGCTGCAGCCACGGACTTCCCTCCACTGACACTTATAGTATCATCGACGGACATAGCCCTGACACGTTTGATCATATCGGTAAGAGTCATGCTACCGCTAGAGCACTGGATTCTCACCTCTCTGGCGAAGTCTCTGGGCAAGCCCCCAACAAACTGTTCTAACAGCATCGGATCTTTGTCGTCCGCAATGTTGTGACCAGAGCTCTTCAACAGCCTCTTTAGCTCCGCCGCATACTCGTCTACTGACTCTGTGGATCCCATGGAACGCGCTTTGAACAAGCGGTAACACTCCGCAGCAGAAGGAGCAAAGGCTTCAGTCAACACCTTCTTCACCTCGTCAGGTTTCTCCTTGTCCGAGTCGGGCATGGCGTTGAATACAGTATACGCAGCCTTATCCAAGAGCAACGGCAAGTTTGCCATCTGCTCTTTGCCCGTATCCCACTTGTGGGATTTCGCCAGGATCATAAACTTTGACCAGAATACATCTAGGTCGTCACCTCGCCCTCGGTACGGACGCATAAATCCATCCAACTTCACAGACATTTTATTCTCATGAACAAACACTAAGACTTTCTATTTCCTTCCGACTCCACAAAAGTCCTACTCTGCAACACGTTGTCCCGGGTTTCGGCACCAAAAGCTGTTGGAGAACATGCACTCCACGCCGGCTTACGGCCAGTTCACTCACAACACCACAGAGCTTCCAAGGAAATTAGTTATTCTTCTAGATGGAAAATGAGAAACGTCTGTTATCACCACAAGTTGGAACTAACTCCACGCCAAGATCAAACGGAAGCTAAGCCCGAAAAAGAACCATGGCCAGCTTGCCAAAAGTAACGCGTAGCAAGCGTGCACGCAAGCACACTCCATACATAAGTCAGGATGCACACAAAAGCTACAAACTCGGAATAAGGGCAGCGCAGACCACGCCGAAACCGCAACTAGAAGATTGACCGCTGACAGGTCAATCAGTGAATGGAAAAGCATGCACCACCACGCAGACGCGCACTCACTAACCTACAATCAATACACGGAAAATGGCATCACGCCAGAAGGTATACCAAGCAGAGCATGCACAAGTAACAATACAGTTCCAGCCAGTGGCTGCCACGTTACCATAAACTACAACAGTAGGTACCAAGCTTCACTAGCAGATTGCCGGCAGGGGTGCACGGCGAGCACCCGTACATCCCTCAAGCCACCAGAGCCGCAGTACTTGGACACGATCCAGGTGCTTACCCGCCAACAATGCTGAGAAGGCACTGGAGCCATACAGGAACTTATGATCGAGCATGACCACAGACTTGAAATACAGGGTCCGGCGTTGAATACTGAGACAGCGACGTCTCCTCCAAAGAACACCACTCAGCCCCACCATTGCATTATTTTCGCTTTTTCATGATTTTTACAATTGTGTTAGAGCACACAGCACTCGATGCAACATTTACCAGTGACTAAATAACCCCGCGTCTCCGACCATAACTGCAGCGTTCCCGTGAGCCTGTTGGATTTCTGTCAGCCTGTTGAGATTATCTTCATCTCGTCACATGTGAGCCTGTGTGTTTCATCCGTATCGTGGCACAATTACACAGACACGATTTCCAACTCAGGCCGGTTCCGTTGCTCGAAGGGTTGGCGGTAAGAATTGCTACGCCGTCTGTGGCTGCATGGGAACTAAATTACTTGGCGAGTCGTTGTCTTTCTCCATAAATCCTGATCGTCACGCGAACAACAGCCACTATTGCCTAAAAACTACGACACAACAGTATCAAGCTCGCCCCAGCAGAAGGACACGAATGACGAGCGCTAAGACGGAGAAAGAGAGACAGGGTTAGCGAGAGCTGACTAGTGCAGGTACGCTGTCACCTCCTGAGGTGGTGGGCGAAGCAGCGAATTGAAACGAAGGAAGATAGAACTTATTAGAAGGCATACGGAGGTACCAAAACCTATTGCCTGTCACATACTAAGTGCCATTTAGGGTTGACAGCTGTCAGCTGACAGCCTCAAAAATTTGAAAATCTGCTCAAAAAACTCTCGATCAGAACTCTGCGCACTCTCAAATGGAGCGCACAGTAAAAAACTCGGCGACGAAGAACGCTTCGTATCGACGCCCTGGACTGAATTCGGCACGTCCAACAAACGGAATAGTGTTCTCTGATATATTCTCTACGTGCTGGGTATGGTCGCGTTTAGTTGGAAGCTCAGTGCATCACCACTTTCGATTTTGAGACTTGGCCGATGGACTATTTGGATCAGCCCGGCGTGGTGATGAGATTTTGGACCCGGGAGTACTAAAAAACTGCTCGCATCCCAGGGTGCGTAGATGGTAATAAGCGCGATACCACATAGGGGTGGAAGTCGGGGACGTGGTGGCTAGACCTGTTGCCTTTTTTCTCTGCTCAAGAACAAGTAGGTTGGTAGGGGACGTGGTGGCTACACTATCACTCCTTTGCTGAAACGCGATGATCTTATCAATTTTCGCCTACATCAGTGTGACAGTACATGAAGGCCTCGTGCGTACTGCGCTACGCGCCTTGGCCTGCGCCAAAAAAAACGGTATTTATACTATTATTAATATTATTAAAACCGGTCAAGGCGACCACTCGGATAAGGCGACCACCTGTCCTAGAAGAAAGAAGACCACTGAAACCAGGACCACGGGATGTTATTTCCAGTCAAATGACCCCGGATAAGGAGATCACCTGGTAACAGAGACCACGTTTGTCAGGTCCCTTGAATTGAGCGGTCGTCTTAGACAGTTTTCACTGTACATGTACTAGTATAGTAGTAAGCGCGACACCACCTAGATGTATACTAGGCGGCTAGGCCTATTATTATGGGCGGAGGTCGCTGTTGAACAGCTCGTTCATAGCGTGTACCGCGGCCTCAATGCCTGCCTTCGTACCAGCGCAGATCTGTATTATCCCTGCCTAGCTAGTACAGTCTGTATCGGCTATAGACTGACCGGATATAAGAATATACCGGCTACAGTGATACTCGTACGAAATATCAAAAGCAAAACGTATTTTATCCAGTACAAATATCACTATAACCAATATTATCGGATGTAATGATATATCGGATATTATGATGGCAACAAAGAATCAAAACATGCATAACACACTTTGTTCCAGTAGATCCCGTAGGTTACCGTTTGCTCGGTCGATGTATTGTGTGCTGACCCGGCACATGTGAGCATGATGCTAGTACTGACTAGACACTGTTAGGACCTGTCTAGACATGCGATTGTCTGTACCGTAGCATTAATCTAGTACATGCATGGCATGCAATACCTGCCGGATCATATGACGGAACTGGTTTGCTGATTGGCTGTAGGTCTGTTCGCTTTATCAGCTGTGCTTTTGTGAGAGTACCAGTTTCACTTTGGAGAGGAGAGAGTTTTTTTGTCTCTTTGGAAAGCAGAGTTTTTTGGTCCTGGAGAGAGGACAATAGCAGAGTTGGTATGTCCGTGCCAAGGCACGATGATGTGTGCATACTATTAGTCTAGAGATTTTCGTTCAGTTACGAAGAACAGAAATAAATACAGTCTTCTTTGGAGCCCAGATTCCGTGACCGAACAACTGGTCCTTCGAGCCGGATTCGAGTCCGAGGCAGTAATCGGAGTCGATGGAAAAAAGAACGAGCGTCAGGTCGACGAAGGGTAGGCCTCCTTCGCGATATGGAGAGTGGGATAGTGTCTCCCAAGTTTCCAAGAAATCCAGTAAGGAAGCCGAACTGGAACTCGCGGCCAGGATACGCGAGAGAGAGTTGCAAGCTGCTGAGGAATTAGTCCAGCTGGAGGCTGAGGCGGTCGAAAAGAGATTGGAACTCAACAGAGAGTTGGTGACCAAGCGATTGGCTGCAGACAGAGCAGCGCTGGAGTTGGAGCTCTCAGAGAAAGGCTCCACCGCGAGCAGCCGCAGGAGTCGGAGAGATGAAAGTGCACGGAGACTGTCCCACGCAGGTGTTGGACAAGGGCTCACGACAGAAGCACTCGTGCGCCATCATCAACTCCTTGAGAAGCTCAAAATTACCAGCGCAGAGTCTGGGAGAGCAGGGCGCGCCTTCAGCGTGGTGGACGCAGTTGACATCCAGCCGACCAAGCCAAGACAAACACCAGCTGGTAGTCGGCCTCCATGCTTGAGTGCTGTGGATGTGGAACGAAGAAGTCCCCAGAGCTGGCTACCAAGTAAGACCAGAACGGTGGAAGTGGAAGCTGGTCGAAGTGACGGACTGCCATCCACAGTGACACATGCACAGACAGTCCATTGTCATTGATGGTCCAGTGAGCAGCGACAGCGCTAGCGGCAGTCAAGTACATGCAGGTATGTCTGGTGATAGTGCAGTGAATCCTGTGTTGCAGAGTAACAGTTTTGCCCCAGTAGCTGTGGCTAATACTAGTAACAACGCACAACACAGACCAGGAAAGATGGTCACTGTGCAGTCCAGCTTTGCACCATTCACCACAACTAGTCTGAAGCCACAACTGCCCCAAGGCCCACAGTATCAGACACCAGCTAACCAGAAGTATCACCCTGCTGTGACATCTCAAGTGCAGCCAAGTAGCTACACAGTCCAGCAGAAAGTGCCTAGCCAGCTTGGACAGGCCAGAGTAGTGAGTGCAAGAGGTCAATCAGCCAGACCCACAGCCAGCAGCCAGAATCCTGCAACTACTTTCTACCCACCGTATGTACAGCAGCAAAGTGCACCAGCAGCTGCACAGAGTCAGTTGGCTACGCAGTGTAGTCAGCCAGATGGACGACGTCCATATACATCACCAGCTGCGAATCCTGCAACTTTTTACACGCCATATTATGTACAGCAAAGTGCACCAGCAGCTGCACAGAGTCAGTTGGCTACGCAGTATAGTCAGCCAGATGGACAACGTCCATATACATCACCAGCTGCTTACCCTCATGCCGGGACATACAGATCCCATTTGAAGCCGTTGAAGCTACCGCAGTTTGACGGAGCGCCAGTGAACTATGTCCCTTGGAGACAGAAATTCATGAGTTTGGTGGGAACAGACCCCCACACAACTGAGCACTACAAAATGGCGAGACTGAGAGAGTCACTCGCCGGAGGGAGTGCCGAGGAACTCGTCCAGGACATTATGGACGGAACAGGCGCCTTTCAAGCAGCATTGGTGGAAATAGAAGCCTGGTATGGCGGTGAGGAGCGACAACTTGAGCGTCACGAGAAAGATATCCTGACGTGGCCCAAGATTGACAACGCTAAAGCCACCGACAAGCTAAAGAAGTTTGCTCTAAAGCTGCGGAGTACCCTGGTCAACATGAAGTCGTGTGGCATTGCTCCCGGCCGTGAACTGTACCTAGCAGCAACCCAGAAAATACCACCGACCCTCCTGCTGAGGTATTTTGAGCTGCACGAGGACCGGAACTGCGATGTTTGCAACTTTGCAGACTGGCTACTGAATCTGGTTCATATGCTGAGGAAGGTAGAGGAGAGGCAGGCAGAGACCCACAAGACACCCACATCAACGGCAGTGCTGCAGAAGTCACAGAGCCGACACGATCATCGACCACATAGAACGTTGGCAACTACAGCAGGAAATGAGACGCCAAAGGCCAGATGCAAGAAGTGCGGAGAGGGCCACGGCTTAGCTGACTGCCGGGCATTTGCCACCTTGTCAACAGCAGACAGGTGGAAATTCGTTAAGCCGTTGAATGTGTGTACCTGCTGCCTGCGCGTTGCTGGCCATCGTTCTGCTGAGTGCAGGAGCAACCCATGTGCTAAGTGCGGTGGAAAACACCATGACATGCTCCACGTTGTGAGACAACAGCAGAGCTACAGCAGGAAGACGGACAAAGAGCCAGCCAGCATGAATCAAAGCAATCGACTGGACAGTCCACAGCGAGGCGGTGGATTACGTGAGAAGCCACAGCGTCCATCCGACACAGCAGCGACGGCCACAGCAACCACCTGCACCGCTAACACCGGGGTCCATGTTGCATTCATGACTGTGCCAGTCAAGCTGCAACACCAAGACCAGATGTATGATGCAGTGGCACTGATTGACTCGGCATCATCGACCAGCTATATCAGGGCTGACGTTGCTGAGAGCTTGGGTGTCAGCGGGCCAGATGAGCAGCTCACCACCTCAGTCCTAGGCGGAACGACAGTAACAGGCCGCCGGCAGAGAGTCAACCTGACCATCCACAGTCATGATGGTGACTACAGCACGGCGTTCCAAGCATGGACCCAGCCCGACATCACAGCTCCGCTACCGGCCGTTGACTGGCATCAGATGAGCCAACAATTCCCCCACCTCCAGCAACTACCGCTACCACAGGTCGACTCGCGGCAGATAGACATCCTGATTGGTATCGATGTCATTGATGTACACCGAGTGCTGGAGGAGGCCACTGGGCGCGCGGGAGAGCCCATTGCACGCCGTCTACCACTCGGCTGGGTTTGCTTTGGGCCGGTGGACATGCCGACGGGTGCCACATCCGAGTGCACGCTGCACGCATCTGCAGTATGTGAGCCATTGCTCGATACACTGGTCGCTAAGTTCTGGGAGGATGACCAGGTGGGCATGCAACCACAATCTGACAAGACGATGGCTGAGATAGAAGCAGAGCACCTCGTGGCTGACAGGATGAAAATCACTGATGGTCGTGTCACGACAGGCATCCCTTGGATTCGGCCAGACCACCAGCCACAGCTGCCGCCAAACCGAGCCATGGCAGAGAAGCGGCTGATCAGCCTCGAGCGATCTCTTCTCAAGAAGCCGGACTTCCTGACCAGACCGGAGACAGAGTGGCCGCTTGTGGAGCTTGATACCCCTCCGCCACTACCTGGTGAGCTGAAGAAGAAGCCATGTATGACATTCGCCAGCCAGGTGACGCCATCTCGACTAGATCCTGCCACATATTCGACGTGGGAGCGTCTTACCAGGGTGACTGCCTGGTGCTTACGGTTCGTACAAAATGCCCGACGGCAGACTGCGACAGTCACGAGGGGGGAAACCCACGTCGACACCGCCAACACCAGTGCCCCACTAGTCTATGTCCGTTTAGCAAGCGGTCATAAGCCAAGATCAGTAGTGACAGTACCGGTGCTGACGGCAGCAGAAGTAGCAGGAGCCGAACGACATTGGTTTGCACAAGCTCAGCTGTCAGCGTACCCAGCCACGCTTGAGCGCTTACGGGCAGGTGAGGAATTACCACCATCTGACCCTCTCTACCGGCTCAACGCGGTCCTGGATGCGACGTCACACCCTGCTCTCATGGTCGTCAACGGACGACTGAAGCATGCTGTCAACCTACCTGTTGGTGTTCGCCAGCCAGTGATCCTACCACAGCGTCACCGAGTCACTACGCTACTCATCCAGCGCGAAGACGACCTCTGTTGCCATGGTGTCGGAACCCAGCACCTGCTGTCCAACCTACGACAGAGATTCTGGATTGTACATGGTACATCAGCGATCAAAAGTGTACGTGCACAATGCGTTACATGCAGCCGACTGATGAGTAAGGCTGCGGAGCAGATCATGGGACCGCTACCCAACCATCGCACGTGTGGTTCTCTCAAACCATTTACCAGATGTGGAGTAGATTACGCAGGACCGTTCTACACAAAGCAAGGGCGTGGTCGAGTGCAGCAGAAGCGGTACATGTGCGTTTTCACCTGTTTGGAGACCAGAGCATGCCACTTGGAGATGGCCTTCTCTTTGGACACAGAAGCATTCCTGATGGCATTCTCCAGATTCATCAAGCGTCGCGGCACTCCGTCCATCATGGTGTCGGACAACGGCACGAACTTTACAGCTGCCGAGCGAGAGCTCCGAGAGGCGAGCGAAGCCATTGATCGCACGCAAGTCAGCAGGAAATTCGCTCATGAAGGAATAGAGTGGCGGTTCAATCCTCCGCGGGCACCCCACTTCGGAGGAGTATTCGAAATTGTTGTGAAAGCTGCTAAGCGTGCCATCACCACAGTACTCGCTAATGCTTCGCTTACCGACGAGGAGTTGCTGACCGCACTGATTGAAGCAGAGCATCTCATCAACACTCGTCCGCTGACTACAGTCTCAGATGATGCTCAGGATGATCAGCCCCTCACTCCCCAGCATTTCCTTGTGGGACGTATGGATGCGCCTCTGGCCAAGGAAGTGACGGTGCTTGGTGAGCATCAGCATAAGCGGAAGAGATGGGCGGCAGTACAGCGATTAGTAGACGACGTGTGGCAGCGATGGAAAAGAGAGTTTCTACCATCCTTGAACCTCCGGAAGTGCTGGCGCCAGGCCAAGAAGAGCTTGAAGGTGGGTGACGTGGTGATGTGGATGAGTCCCGGCACTCCGCGCGGAGAGTGGCCATTGGGTCGCATTATGGAGACCTTCCCAGGAAAGGACAACAAGGTGCGCGTCGTGGACGTCAAGATTGGAGGCAAGATCCTGCAACGTGCCATCCATCATCTCGTTCCTTTGCCAGTTGGAAATGAGTAACAGTGATGGACATGATTATGTAGTTGTGTCACACTCGGATTGTTTTTGTTTTTTTTAGTGTGGTTTTCTCCTCGTGTGAGAGGGGGATATGTTCCAGTAGATCCCGTAGGTTACCGTTTGCTCGGTCGATGTATTGTGTGCTGACCCGGCACATGTGAGCATGATGCTAGTACTGACTAGACACTGTTAGGACCTGTCTAGACATGCGATTGTCTGTACCGTAGCATTAATCTAGTACATGCATGGCATGCAATACCTGCCGGATCATATGACGGAACTGGTTTGCTGATTGGCTGTAGGTCTGTTCGCTTTATCAGCTGTGCTTTTGTGAGAGTACCAGTTTCACTTTGGAGAGGAGAGAGTTTTTTTGTCTCTTTGGAAAGCAGAGTTTTTTGGTCCTGGAGAGAGGACAATAGCAGAGTTGGTATGTCCGTGCCAAGGCACGATGATGTGTGCATACTATTAGTCTAGAGATTTTCGTTCAGTTACGAAGAACAGAAATAAATACAGTCTTCTTTGGAGCCCAGATTCCGTGACCGAACACACTTAATAATATTATTATCGGCTATAGTGATAACTTTAAAATACATGTAGCAATAATTTCAAAGGCCCTATTTTTACTTTCTTCACGTTGCTTATTTTTATAGTGATACATGTACATGTACATGTACATAACAGGTTTTTTCATGGAAATGCGGGCACTGTCAACTATGCAGCATGCTCATTATTTTGTCAAAACACCATGCTGGAAGTATTTCCTTGCCTTTCATGTGTCGATGGAAAAAAATCAATCGTATCGCATTATAGTGATGCATCGGTTATATAATAGTGATAAAATCACGGAAATCAAAAGGGTGCGCTATAGCCGATGCAGACTGTACATTGTACTGAACTGAGTCTGTAGCTGACTACAGGTACATGTACATTTATTTTTACTCTACTTATGTCACATGTAGACGTACACGTACTGTATGACTCTTTGTCACTCCTTTGCTGACACGCCTAGCAGCTGATCTTATCACTTGAGCACTTCTAAGTTCTCACCACTTCACTTGTGAAGAAGTGACACGTACATGTCATGTACATGTACATGTACAGTGAAACCTCGTTAAGAAGAACACGGATAAGACAAACGTTTAAACGTTCGCTGTAGAAGAAATACACATTCATACATGGCACGTGCTTGTTGCCAGGTGACGGCCAATGGGCGACCAGAATAAGCAGTCAAGATCAGGCGATCCTGAGTCCTGACCGCTTAGCCGGTCAAGAACTTCAGTCAGCCGGTCAAGATCTGGAGTAAAAATTGCTGCGCGCATGCGCATGTACCATTTCCTAAAGTGCTCGACACGGACGGTGATCATTGAACATTTGTCGTCCGCCAAACGAAAGAGTTGGCCAGTACTGCTTTTGAAGTCACAGTGTTCACCGAGAAGACCACCTATCCTTGCGGGTGGCGCACTATGGCAGTCGACCTTGCAGGTACTTTTATGTGTTGGAGAAGATTGGTTGAGCGTAACGTAATGCAATTCCTGTGGAAGAGAGGAGAGGGCGTGTGGGGGAAGTGGTGTACATGTGCACGACTCAGGACTGGAGTGTGGCCATCACCTCATGATCAGTTTTGGTCCTGACTTCCACGTACCTGCGTAACATGCGCGATGCGACCACGGTAACACAAAACATAAAAATGAGAATGATGTCAACTGGCATCGACATAACCTGCATGTAATTTGCAGTATGCAGTCCAATACATGGCTGTGGGTTCAAAAGAAGCATGAACTCATGTGTGCGGTAGTCTTGGAAGGCGTGTGGCCGAACAGCGATGTAAATGTCGATAAGACCGACGCCGTGTGTGTACCGACCGTAGGAAGCGCACAGGAGACACAAGGAAAGACTCCGTCATGCACAAGTTTTGGGAAGTGATAAGATCAGCTGTTAGCATGTAGGCTTTTGACAGTGTAGCATGTAGTTACAAGTCAAGAGCCATGCGATGCGTGTACGTGTACGCGTCCGTGTGCATGTTACATACGTACATGTAACTGGAGTGGAAATAGATGTAGTGTGTTGGTGAGTTTCATGACATTGCATTGCTTTCTTCCTCCATGTACGCAATTTCCACATGTTCATTCAAACTTTCTCCAGCACTACCAGGTACATGCAGGTCAGCATTGGTTGTAGCAAGGGATGAATAGTACACAGACGATACCTGGATACTGCTTTCCGTCCATCTTCTCACCTCTACGTCGCTGTATTCTGTTACAATGGTTTATACAGGAAGCGACACATTTTTCATCTTCTACGATCAACAAGTGCTTCAAATACATCTCTCATCTATTTTTCCCTGTCCCGAAATGGCTGAACCCGTTCGTAAACGTTTTTCTGACCTATGCCGAGGTAGACTACCCGCGTCATCCACGACGTCGCGGCTGACCAGGAATATACGTGGCGTTGACATTAACTCTTTTCGGCAAGATATCCTTGAGGCTTCTCTACATGATTTTTCGGATCACAATGATGTAAATCACATGTGGAAAGAGTGGCACACTAAGTTCCTGTACGTTTTGGACAAGCATGCCCCGCTGCACAACTCTAAGCCTTCCCGGAGGGCGATACCTCCCTGGTCTGACAGAGAGCTGCACCAGCTCGAACAGCGTAAACGGCGGCTGCACAGCCGTTGGCGGAAGGATAGGACAAACGGCACACTGTATGCAGAGTTTAAACAAGCACGTAGCACTGCTCGGAATGCGTATCGGCGCAAGCGAAACGAGTACTTCTCCCGTCAGTGCGAAGAAAATGTGGCCAACCCTAGGAAGTCTTGGGCCATTCTAAATGCAGTCACTGGGCGTTCACGTCGCCGCCAAGATCCTAGTTGTAGCATCAGCGAGGTGGCCGACACGTTCCACTCCATTGTCACCGATCCCAACCGTCCTGAACAACTCTGTACCCCGCACGGTCCCGCTGGACCCTTCTCCTTGACCGAACTTGATCCTGTGACTCCTGCTGACGTCCGACGTCTCCTTGAGAAGTTGGATGCGCGGAAAGCCACAGGTAGTGACGGCATACCGGGCTCTCTGCTACAGCAGTGTGCTGACTTGCTTTCATATTCTCTTGCTGTGCTGTTCTGCACCTCGCTGAGGACTGGAACCATTCCATCCGCATTTAAATTGGCGTCTGTCGTGCCACTGTACAAGGCCGGTGACCCATCAGTCCCCACCAACTATAGACCTGTATCCCTTCTCCCAATAGTGTCCAAGTTGCTGGAGAGGGTAGTGCAACACCAGTTAGTTCGTCATTTGGACTTGACCCAGGCATTACCCGAAACACAATTTGCCTTCCGCAAGAAATGTTCCACGGAAGACGCCCTCTGTGTGCTGACTGATAATCTGCAGAAGGCGAGAGACAGTGGCAAGACCACAGGGCTGTGCCTATTAGACATGTCGAAGGCTTTTGATAAAGTGCACCACGACAAGTTAATTCAAGACCTCCTTGCGGTTGGAATTTCTGGAAAAGCCCTTAGTTGGTTCGTCGACTACTTGTCCGGCCGCAAGCAGCAGATCCTCATCTCGCCTTCAACCAGCCCTGCTCTGGCTTGCACCTGCGGAGTGCCCCAAGGCTCTGTTCTCGGCCCTGTCCTCTTCAGTATAATTATACACACGCGGTGTCCCTTTGGTTTCCTCGCCTGTGCCAAGTGTACAATTTGCAGATGACATAGCCCTGTACGACTCCCAGGCCTCAGCGGCGGAAGCGTCCAGAACCCTCACCACAGCGGCAACTGCTCTGGCCGGTTGGCTGAAGTCCCGAGGCCTCATCTTGAACGCCACCAAGAGCCAGGTTCTGACTATCTCTCCCCAGCAGCATGTACAGGAAGTAACAGTCAAAAGCGGCGACTGTCTCCTCCCCTCAGCGTCTCCTGCGCGCTACCTCGGCGTTCACCTTGACAATCGCCTAGATTGGGACACCCATGTAAACTATGTGGTCACCAAGGTTGCCAAGAAAATTGGCGCCTTGTGGCGGGCACGCCGAAGCCTATCAAGACGCTCTCGTCAGGTGTATGTGAAGGCGGTCATAATGCCCGACCTGCTTTATGGCTCCTGCTGTTTCTCAGCCGCAATGCGAGAGGGTCAACTCAAACGACTGCAAACCACGCAAAACAGAGCCATCCGCTGTATCGATGGCAACCCGCCCCGGACAGCCATGCAGCCGCTGCTCACTGCTCACTCCCTGTACCGTGTCAGCGAGCTCTACAGGCAGAAAATATTGATCACCATCTGGCGGTGCATCCACGCCCGCACCAGCCCTGTGCTGGCCCAGCTTCTGACCCTGGCACAAGGCACCCCTACCCGCCATCAGCAGTCAAATGGCCTACTAAGCCAGGCAAACCGTAGCCGCCGCGGTCAGCGGAGATTTTCTGTTGCTGGTGCTCTGCTGTGGAACGCTCTCCCTGGTGAGGTCCGCACAATTACCCGGCTACCTGAGTTTAAGCATGCATGTGTACCATACGCCTGTAGGGAGTAGTTCGAGTTGCTGCTGATCGCTCTGCTCTCCCTCCCCGTGCAGTTCAGTAACCCGGACGTAGTATCACAGATACATCGTATTCTCTCTCTCCCCCCGTTTACCCGCAGTTATTAGTATCCTATTCTCTTACTATGTGCTGCCATAGCTTTTACTATGTTCTTCCATAGCCACTTCTAGGCTAAGCCTTCGCCGTCATTTTATTGGGTCGTCATCCCGTTTGAATGTGCGAAGTGAAATAAAAACCAACCAACCAACCAACCAACCAAAGACTCCGTGGTAGCGGGTCGTACGCCGAAGAGTACAAAGAACAGTACGAAAATCTGGGTGTCTGTGTTAGAAACATTCATGAAGAAATCTAGTTTGGCGTTGGACCTAAACAGATGCTCCAAAGATGACCTCTGCCATGTGCTTTGTAAGCGTTACGTCAGAATGAGGAAGAACAAGGGTGACTTATCATAATTTCCAGTTCATGGTGAAATAAATAATTATAACCAGCCACTTTGAACTTGATCTTTCCTGGACCGAGCGCTGTTGTTCGTCGGTTGTGCCGTAGGTGCCGAGTGAAGTAACAAAAAGTTAGTTGTTCGGGAGGTGGGCCATGTATGAACCACGATCATACACAGTTGCGTCGGGCAAGCCGCTCTGATCTGGCCCTCGGTCATGTGAGTGATCTGGCCCTCGGTCATGTGAGTGATCTTGCCCTCGGTCGAGATCACTAACAGACCTGGGGCAAGATCAGAGCGTCTTGCCCTCGCAACTGTGTATGATTGTGTATCTCATAAGTCATAACTTGATAGATTACTGTATGTCAGCAGTCAGCTGGTCAAGATCTGGAGTCAAATAGCATTGCGGTGCACATGCGCATGTACCATTTCCTAGGCTAAAGTGCTCGACACGGTCAACATTGAACATTGGTCTTCTACTGAACGAATGAGTTGGCCAGTACTGCTTTGGAAGTCACAGTGTCACGTGAACGAGAAGACCACCTAGTACCTATCCTTGCGGGTGGTGACGTTTCTCGCTGGGGAATGCGCACAATGGCAGTAGAAGTAATTGCAGGTATAGCGTTTTTATGTGATGGAGAAGATTGGTTGAGCGTAACGCAATGCATTAATGCCGGGCAATGCAATAATATTATCTGAGGAAGAGAGGAGAGGGCGTGTGTGGGAAGTGGTGTACATGTGCAGGACTCAGGAGTGTGGCCATCACCTCATGATCAGTTTTGGTCACTGACTTCCATGTACATGTAGCTGTGTAGCATGCGCGATGAGACCTAAACATAAAACATGTACAACTTCAAGGACAATGTCAATGATGTCAACATCGACATAAACTGCATGACTGTACATGTGTGTTATTTGTAGTATGCAGTCCAGTACACTGTCACTGGTACATGGCTGGGGATTCAAACGAAGCATGAACTCACGTGTGCGGTAATCTTCCAAGGCGTGTGGACGAACAGCGAGGTAAATCATGACATAATTGCCTCGGGCAAGATCAGTGCGTCTTCTCTTCCTTGCCTTTTCTTTCAAAGTAATTCCTCCCGACATTCGTGTTGATTGTCGTGCCTCACACGGTTACCTATTGGCTGTATTGGTGGCAGCGGTGCGTGAACTCCGAGTCTCGTCCCTCTACTGTATGTTTCAGTCTTGTTGTTACCGTACTTTAGTCAATCGTTGACGTTATGCCTTATGCCTCAACCCGCTGCTGCGACAGGAGAAGGGACAGTCGGCCAGCGCTTACTGTGAGAAGGTAAGGGCAGCTGTCGCTCAATCCTACCCCAACATGGCCGCTGCTGACAGGGATGTCAAATAATTTATTACAGCCATTACTGGCATTAGTGTGCATGCGCAAGTGTGTTTGTGCGTGTGCGCGTGCGTGTGTGCGCGTGCGTGTGTGCGCGTGTGCACAGTCATAGTACGGACTACGGCACATGTATCTATACGACTACAAATGTAAAACTTACTTGAACCGCTGACGATAATAGATGCTGGTGCATTCAGCCCTAGGCCCTGTCATTACATAACAGAGATTTTCCACACTACGTAAACTTTACGTTAGTGGGCGGGAAAAACCCGTGAATTCGCGAGTTTGCACTCCACTTACGGAAAGTACGAGGTGGTTTGGCTTTTTTTAACATGGTTGTAAAATGACGTTTTTTCAGTCACTTCTAGATAAGCTACGTCCAAGTGAATTGTTGCAAGTGGAAGTGCTATCCTTCATGCCCGTTGTGTCCAAAAATGGGAATGATCCCACTTTGGAAAGTGTCTTGAATCATGTCCTACTTTCATAGTATTCTCAGGATTCAAATAATTGGTGTGTCATTTTTTAACAAATTTGTAAAATGGCATCACAAACTGGGATATTCGGTCATCAATGTTCTGAAGTTGATAGATATCACTTCAAGGATTGCTAGTGGATGAAAATTAATCTATCAACAGAAGAGTGAACTGCATTGTATGCTGCGAAAGCCGTGTTTTTGTATTTGTAACTAGTGGCTGTGTTATACGGTGGAATTGGATAGATAACATAGCATCGCAGCGATGTTTTCGTCCTCACAGAGTGTATTCCGTGACCTATTGTTCTTCATTACTGTCTCTAGTGATGGCAAGACGGCCTGACGTCGCCCAAAGGCCCTGCGGAAGCAATTCACTGCCCTCCTCGTCCATTCAGGGGCTCATTTTACACATTTTGCACAAAATGGCAAAGCACCCACCACTAGTTATACCAACGTGGCAGGGAGAATTGAAATTATATGCACCAAATTTTCTGGTCAATGTTGATCTACGATAAACTGGCTCTCATTTGCCACCACCCATGTTTCGATACAGCCATCCGGAGCAGAGAAACAGCCAGAAGAAAAGCAAATTTTACACATTTGTTAAAAAATGCCAAATGTTAAAAAAAGCCAAATCACCTCGTAGTCTACGGAGAGTACGTAGATAGGGCTCTGATAACGTACTGTAAAAACCATAATAATTCTTCAACTTCTGCGACAGGTGCATTGCGACAGCTTGCGACAGCTCGCGACAGGCAGTTTCTTGTCGCAACTGTCGCAAATCGCGTGTCGCGTCGCAGAAAGTTGTATTGTGAATCGGCCTTTACGTTACTTCCCCGATGGCCCTGTTGCGGCAGTTGCGTGGGGTCCGCGATGGTTGCGATTTGGGGATTCCCCGGTTTCGCGGCTGTCGCATCGCAAAAAAGCTTCTGTGAATCCCGCTTTAGAACTTTTTCCTCAACTTAAAAAAAATTAGAACTGAAAGAAGAAAAATCTGAAGACAAATGTTGGGATTTGAACCCAAACTGTCAGATTCCCAGTCTCAGAACTTGGGGAACATACTACAAGTAACAACTGAAAACTTCTGTTTATACCGATTATAGAGAAGTAATGTCCAATGTGAACGGCATATGTACAATTATGTACATACTATGTACTATTACAATAGTATTCCTTTCTTCCTATAAACACAGCTAAAACAGGTTAGGTATGCCATGTCGTGATAAATCTATTATTGCCCTCATAGTCGGTCAATATATAAAATATTTTGACCTCTTTAATCGTGCAATAATAGAGATACATATTCTAACGAGGCGCATATACATGTATAACGATTTCCCAAAATTGACAAGTTTACGTGTATCAAAGGTAACGATTCTCACTCATTCTCAATAGGAAAGTAATAATAAAATTTAAAATACTATATGTATCGATTTCTGTATAACGATTTATTTTAACGACAGATTTCTCGTTAGAGTTAGCACTTCGTTATTAATATTAATATGTACATTGTACATATGCCGTTCACATTGGACATTACTTCTCTATAATCGGTATAAACAGAAGTTTTCAGTTGTTACTTGTAGTATGTTCCCCAAGTTCTGAGACTGGGAATCTGACAGTTTGGGTTCAAATCCCAACATTTGTCTTCAGATTTTTCTTCTTTCAGTTCCAATTTTTTTTAAGTTGAGGAAAAAGTTCTAAAGCGGGATTCACAGAAGCTTTTTTGCGATGCGACAGCCGCGAAACCGGGAAATCCCCAAATCGCAACCATCGCGGATCCCACGCAACTGCCGCAACAGGGCCATCGGGGAAGTAACGTAAAGGCCGATTCACAATACAACTTTCTGCGACGCGACACGCGATTTGCGACAGTTGCGACAAGAAACTGCCTGTCGCGAGCTGTCGCAATGCACCTGTCGCAGAAGTTGAAGAAAGTTCAACTTTTGCGACTTGCGACACGCGACATACACAAATGGAGTACAGTTTCGACCCTGGGTGCACGTGCAGTGCCCGTGCATAGTACTACTTGTGCATGAGGATGTCGCAAACATGAAGAATATTGTGAACCGTGTGTCGCTGTCGCAGCTCGTCGCATGTGTCGCAAGTCGCATGTCGCGTCGCAGAAAGTTGTATTGTGAATCGGCCTTAACAGTTGAGCTTGGCTCAACTTTTGCGATGCGACAAGCGATTTGGCGTACGATGTTGGCCTTTTCTACAGCAAAGTTGTACAAAGGTTCAAGAGTTGTTGCCTATAAATTTGTACAAGTTGTACCAAACCGTGCGAATACCATGGTGACGTACCCAAATCAGCAAGACTTTGTCGCATCGCTGACTTCTTCTGTGAACGGTATTTCGCGAGTTCGCATCGCACGCGTCCATCGCAGATCGCGTGTCGCATCGCAAAAAAAGCTTCTGTGAATCCCGCTTAAGTCCTCGGGTAAGTGGTCAATTATTATTATTATTATTATTATTAACTGGTTTTGAGGGAAAGAGACAAACGGGAAAAGTCTGAAGAAAAAATCGACTGTCACCACCAGGACTCTTATTATTATTATTATTATTATCTCCACGTAAGCTTTTTAATTATTATTATTATCATTATTTAAAAATTCGACGAGGAGACAATAATTTTAATATGGCAATAAGTAGGACGAGCTGAAGCGACATGTGGACTACTTTATTAACAATGTAAGCGATGGAGACGATGCAAGAAACAACCTAAAGGGTAAGGAAAAATATGTTTCCTTACCCTTTAGGTTGTTTCTTGCATCGTCTCCATCGCTTACATTGTTAATAAAGTAGTCCACATGTCGCTTCAGCTCGTCCTACTTATTGCCATATTAAAATTATCATTATTATTATTCAAAGGATCAGTCGGGGAAGTAAACTGCCTCAGTGAAAAGCGAAAAAACGCCAGACCCACCTGGCGTTTTTTTCTCTTTTCAGGCAGTTCACTTCCCCGACTGATCCTTTGAATTTGAAGTTCTCCCAATCCTTTCCAAATTATGAGATTGTGTCTAATAATAATAATAATAATAATAATGATAATTTGGAGAAATGGTGAAGGGAAAAAATATGGATTCAAACAAGTTTTCATACAACACTCATCAGACTTGTAAATTTCACTGTTGTTGCTCTTATAAAACTTGTAGTGTTATTTCTCTAACTTAGATTTTCTATAATAGTTCAATTTTTGTTTCAGTGTCCTTTAGTACAACGACGATTCCTGATGAGTGTTGTACGAAAACTTGTTTGAATCCATATTTTTTCCCTTCACCATTTCTCCAAATTATCCTTTCCAAATTATTATTATTATTATATATTTTAAGACTTGGGGCTCCCCGCGTGCTAGTTTGTACGTGAAGTGTGGGTACAGTGAGGGCTGCGTCCCACCCGCCTGTGTGGATTCACAGGAAGTGTGAGTTACGAAGTCTGAAGAAAACGTTGAACGGTCTCTGCTTGGAAGACGACTACACCATAGCTCAGTGGTTAGAGCATCGCTGGCTACAAGCGAGGGTCCCTGGTTCGAGTCTTGGTGGTGACAGTCAATTTTTTCTTCAGACTTTTCCCGTTTGTCTCTTTCCCTCAAAACCAGTTAATATTTTATGACTTGGGGCTCCCCGCGTGCTAGTTTGTACGTGAAGTGTGTGGGTACAGTGAGGGCTGCGTCCCACCCACCTGTGTGGATTCACAGGAAGTGTGAGTTACGAAGTCTGAAGAAAACGTTGAACGGTCTCTGCTTGTGTTATGTTCGGGTTTACTCAGTCGGCAGAGCAAGAGGGTACAGGAATGGATATTGGTTATCATACAGAATTGCACACTTATTCAGAGAGAGAGAGAAAGAGTTCTCAGGTAATACACTGTAGTCTAGCATGAAACTAATCCCTAGGAAACTAAGAATGCAGCAGCTTTTATAGCGAAGGTAGAGAACTAAGGTTGGTAAGACAAGGATTCATGACGAAATCATCCTTCTACAAGTTCTAGAATAGTGGAGAAGGTAAACCTAGATCATCATTGCTATACAGGTAGATGAAGTGAGCATTGCGTAACATTAACATAATGACTAAGCGAGGTATTCTAGAAGGTGAGATATCTATATTATGCATTTTAGTCAGCAACATTACTCATCGGGCATAGTACTTGGAAGGTATGGAACAGTCCGGAATCAACGACGTGATTGACTAACTAAAAGGAAGTGGTAGACGTACTAGTTATAGAAGTGATGACAGCAAGGTTGCTTACAAGGATGGGAGATCTAATTATAGCTGATGACGAGGCTTACATGTACGTGCATGCACTACTACTACTACTAGTACTGAGTACTAGTCGCAATCAAGTCATGTACATGTCATAATGTATGCATTTCTACCCGAACACTTGGATGACGACTACACCATAGCTCAGTGGTTAGAGCATCGCTGGCTACAAGCGAGGGTCCCTGGTTCGAGTCCTGGTGGTGACAGTCAATTTTTTCTTCAGACTTTTCCCGTTTGTCTCTTTCCCTCAAAACCAGTTTATATTATTATTATTAATAATTATAACGCTAAAACTGTGTAGTGAGACAAACAATCATGCTGTGCACCTACGAAAACAATTTTAACGCAACTACATGTTTCTTTTGCTTACAAAGATCAGGCTTATGCAAACGAATACAAACAGCCTCAAGTACTTTCAACTGACTAGCATACCGTGCACGACAAAGAACAGAAAAACTAAAATCATCATACACCTGCAGACACTTAGGGTGAGACAACAAGTGAAGAAAAACGGCAGACTTCTTACGATCACAATCACCATCTGATTCCTCGTCTCAGGTGATTGTGATCGTAAGAAGTCTGCCGTTTTTCTTCACTTGTTGTCTCACCCTAAGTGTCTGCAGGTGTATGATGATTTTAGTTTTTCTGTTCTTTGTCGTGCACGGTATGCTAGTCAGTTGAAAGTACTTGAGGCTGTTTGTATTCGTTTGCATAAGCCTGATCTTTGTAAGCAAATGAAACATGTAGTTGCGTTAAAATTGTTTTCGTAGGTGCACAGCATGATTGTTTGTCTCACTACACAGTTTTAGCGTTATAATTATTAGTTTCTCACTCGCCGTTGCAATTATTATTATTATTTAAAAATTTTGAATAGGGCAGTCCCATGCCCACAGGCCTACAGTCAATTTCAAAACAATAGACGCGTAGTGTTTTTGAAATATTTCAAATTTGGCCGGAACTTTTTGAGAATAGTTTTCGGAATATTGCTCAGGTCCGCTCCATAATTACTCTCATATAGTTTCTAAACGATTGGGTAACAGACACCCAATTTGGAAAAATTTATGCACAAAGTGATCACAGATTTTATGTGGTATAGATGCTGGCATAACGGTTTTTGCCTAGGTACGCGTCTATAGTTTTGAAATGGACTGTAGGGCCTTTTTACAGGGTACCCAATAATAAGCGGTCAATATGTATCTATTATTGCACGATTAAAGAGGTCAATAGACACCCTTAGCAAACAACGTTATGTTGCAATGGTATTACCGTAAGGGGGAAAATACCGTGATTTGGGTTCGACCTTAAGGGCCTGGTCAGACTGAGGCAAAATCGAAATAATCCTAGGATTATAATCCGAATCTCCATAGTAACTTGCTGCCAGAGCGGCAAAAGCGAGAGTTGACGCTCCAAAAAAAATGCAAGAACGGACCACGCTTTTCCGCTCCAAACAGGATTTGACGCTGATACGCCATTGACGCTGCTAATCACTGATTTTTTCATCTCGATATCGAGGAGCTAATTGGCCACGGACAACAACAAAACTCTTAAGGATGGTTGCAAGGATTGCACTGAAGGTGTTGGCGATCCCCAAGGTGAAGGAATTTGACGTCGTTCGTGGAGATTACCACTTGACGCTCGAAATGAAGTTTGAATTTTCACTCTCCCCACATGTGTAGTGTGATCGCGATTCAAATTCTGGACGCTGTTCTTTTTTCGTCAGGCAACCAAAATTTGCCGCAGTCTGACCAGGCCCTTAGCAAGATGCACGCAATTTTTAGTACACTGTTGCCGTAAGAATAGACTTTACTTCGCGCGGTACAACCATTTATGTCACCATATACGCGATACAAGGTGAACGTACTATGCAATCAAAAAAATTTGGCCAAAAAACGTACCGTCGGTCACAACGATAAATCAGCCCCCATAACGTTTTTACGCTGCAGCTTCAACGCTATATTTGGGTGATCAAGGTACGAGTACCGTAAAAAATAGCGTTACCGTTGTTTGCTTAGGGTGTCTAATAATAGATTTATCACGACATAGTATACCTAAAACTGTTTTTGCTTTGCTATAGGAAGAAAGGAATATTATTGTAATAGTATATAGCATGTACATATGCCGTTTACATTGGACATTACTTCTGTGTAAACCGAAGTTTTCAGTTGTCACTTGTAATATGTTCCCCAAGTTCTTTGACTGAGAATCTGACAGTTTGGGTTCAAATCCCAGCATTTGGCTTCAGATTTTTCTTCTTTCAGTTCTGATTTTTTTCTAAGTTGAGGAAACAGTTCTAAGTCCCCGATAGGGCCTGGTCAGACTGCGGCAATTTTTTTTGGCCCTTAAGGCCTGGTCAGACTGCGGCAAATTTTGGTTGCCTGACGAAAAAAGAACAGCGTCCAGAATTTGAATCGCGATCACACTACACATGTGGGGAGAATGAAAATTCAAACTTCATTTCGAGCGTCAAGTGGTAATCTCCACGAACGATGTCAAATTCCTTCACCTTGGGGATCGCCAACACCTTCAGTGCAATCCTTGCAACCATCCTTATGAGTTTTGTTGTTGTCCGTGGCCAATTAGCTCCTCGATATGGAGATGAAAAAATCAGTGATTATCAGCGTCAATGGAGTATCAGCGTCAAATCCTGTTTGGAGCGGAAAAGCGTGGTCCGTTCTTGCATTTTTTTGGAGCGTCGACTCTCGCTTTTGCCGCTCTGGCGGCAATTTACTATGGAGATTCGGATTATGATCCCAGGATTATTTCGATTTTGCCGCAGTCTGACCAGGCCCCAACAAAACTCATAAGGATGGTTGCAAGGATTGCACTGAAGGTGTTGGCGATCCCCAAGGTGAAGGAATTTGACGTCATTCGTGGAGATTACCACTTGACGCTCGAAATGAAGGGGCACAACACAGAACAGAAGCATACAACACATCAAAAGGAAAGTCGACTCATTCCAAACATATCCATAGTTGATGCATTCAAAATGGTAATTCTAAAATTTAAAATAGACAAAGTTCAGTTTGGACACACCATTTGCCAAATAAAAAAGGAAATGCAACGCTTGTTAATTATTTTAGAATAACAAACGCAAGCTTTCATGTAGTGTCATGGATGGAAAGAAAGCCCTGCAGAGAGCCAGGCCATTCATCAGTGGGTAGAGGCAGGTACAGATATGATGAAAGGCGGCACTACGACCATGACACATGAACAGAATACAGTAACACACAGATGGAGGCTAAAAACTAAAGTGTCCTTAGCATTTTACAAAAGCTATAGACGTGGGCAAGATCAAACGACATGACAAGTGCCTACGTACTAAGGGCTACAGGCTGCAGAAACTATAGAGAACTACTATGCCGACAACAGGTGGAATACACCTTCTGGAGTTGAAAAAAGCCAGTCAGAAACCAGGAAGAAGACAAGGACAGAGCTGCAACAATGCAACAATTACTGCAGCGTGCGTGACAAACAAGCAAGTAGAGTGCTATCGCTGGCTACACAATACACATACTAAGACTCTAAGGGCCCAGCTGAACCGCTGCTAGGCATGCAGGCAAAGTGACTGCTACAATATTGGTTAGCTGGTCCGGGGACTAGCACAGAACACACCAAAAATTGAGTTGTCATAGACCAGGCACATTGGATTAGGCAAGTTATATTTGTAAGCATGGCAGGTACTCGCTACAGAGTCGTTAGTATAGTGAAGAGGCGATGCTGTCGAGCAGGAAGATCAGAGCACATTGCCCAACCGTAGCACGATACTCCTGCACTATTAAGGGCTTGGCAATTCAATACTCAGCATGTAGGCAGTGGGGACACAGAGCCCTGCACTACATCCAATGTCCCAAAGAAAAATGGACAGCCAAGCCCATTCTGGTGGGAGCGCAGTGGGTGACGATGACCCTACGCATTAGCAATTCTCCACTCATTGACAGCTTGCAGAGTAAGACCTGGCAACACACCAACACAAAGGGGCGTCTCAACATATTCTACATTGCTACGACCAAGAAAACGCGGGGTCCCGGGGAGGGGTCTCCGGGGCCCTCCCCCGGTAACGGTTTAGGAAAAATTGGGCCCAAATAGCCCATAATTTCATCGCTTCAGAAATCAAAGGATAAAACTATTGAAACTCGGATAATAAGCCAGTAATAAAATGTAAAAAAGAGAAGAAACACATGAGAACGAGTTATGCAGCAACTATCCATGACTGTAACAAGATGATAAACGGTCAGAAAGTGCGATACTATGGCACAAAACTGACAGGCTACTGAGACATTCAGCGACTCGAGACCTAGCTCCAACACATCTCCAGTGCGCAAACCAACAGCCTTCCAACTTAGAAGGTTCATGGTTACGTAGGACCGAAGAGGGGAAGATGAGCGCAGCGAAAATGTGCACAAGCTAAGTCCCGCGGCAACAAAGAATGGCCACTGTTACAGGACGATGACGAGGCCAGTTAATAACATGACAATGCGGTCTTGACTACAATTCACTAACACGGCGAAATGTACGTCGTGTGGAATTACTTGTTATTGTAGTCAACTCGTCCACAATAGTGTCATGCATAAGGAGTACCGTTAGATATTGGCGTCCGGTTTTGTACAATTCGTTTTCGCAAAGCTTCCCCCTTCCTTTATCTCTGATATTGCTGACCCACCCAAGTTGGGTGGTGTGTTGCTTTGCTGCTTCGAATGGTAGTCATTGTAGTCATATGCTTTTACTCGGCTTCCTACATTGACCTCGTACTCAGTCAATATTAGATACATATACAGTACAGGTGGAATCCTGATAATTCGAACCTCGAATTGCCAGGAAAAAACTTATCCAAACATGAACCCATAACACGATATCAGGGCTGCCACTTGCTCCGATTTTTCGGAAATCGTCCGATTTTTGATTGCCTGTCGGACAAACCGACCGATTTTGTTCCCAAAGAGGGACAATCGATTATTTTATTTTGAGCGCTTTTTAGTCCAGTTGGCCATTCGGCGCTTCCAGGTCGCGTCTGGCCTGTCATTGTACATGTAGCTACATTTGCTGCATAATTGACATGGTTGTAGGGCGTGTGCTGGAAGGTTAAAAATGTGTTCTGGGGCCCCAACAGCAAGCCATTTTCCTGAAGATTTTCACCGGGGGACACCCCAGCACCCCCGTCAGATTTTTCTCCCTCAAAGTGTGGCAGCACTGCGATATGTATATCAAAATGCTCCCATGGTCACGCAGAGTTGCGCTATGGACCTTAGACACAGATTTCACGGATATTGAACTGACCGGCACAGCCTGCTCATACAAACTGAACTGACCAGTACAGTGTACAGTGAACTTCGAATTACACTTTGCTAACTTCGAATTATCAGCACAAATGCCACACATTTTCTATGTAAGAGGAATCCGTGGAACTTCGAATTAACCGGACATGTCTGGTTCGAGGTTCGAATTATCAGAAAAAATTATGTGGGAATCGTATTGACAGAAATCGGTCCTGGAAAAACTTCTAATTAAGCGGTATGTTCGAATTAAGCCATATTCGAATTATCAGGATTCCACCTGTAGTTGGATTACCATGCCATAGTTGAATCAACATTCACAGCATAAATGGAGTGGGGCATGGCAGAAAAACGGACGGACAGCCAGACAGATGGACAGAAAGACAACGTGAGTAGCCTTCGCTGCAACACATAACAATAAAAAGCCACAGTACATGGGATTTCTGCGAACACCAAAGGCCTAACAAACATGACAAAGGTACGAAGAAAGCGAAGAATGCGCAAAGCTGCACAACAACGAGACAATCTGCTGACAATTAGGGCTGATACGAATACCAAACAAAGCGAATAGAATATTCTAAACGAATATGTAGCGAAATGAAGAATATTCCGAATGTTCTTTGCTATTTTTCAAGTAGTTATTAAGGCATCGTATGTGTGGTCAGTGTTCATATATACATACTTTTACATAGAATTTGAAAAGGTAAGTGAAAATGTTTACACAATCGTCATATGCTATCAGTATGATGCTTGTGTGGTGCATGCACCCGCACACAGACAAACACACACACACACAGTGCACATTAGTCAATATAGAACAAGTGGGGAAAATTCACTTTTTTGATTGTACCCTTGCGTTGTGTGGCTAGTCCATATGTCAGTGGTGAAGGACACTGCATCCACATCAGCCAGGAGATCCTTCACTTTCTCCAACAAGACATCAAATTTTCTTTTCAGAATCTTTGTCACATGGGTATGTTATGGCATCGAGTAGCCTGGTTCAACGAATTTGAAAACGTCCTTCAAGCCAGAGTCTTCGATTATTGACATTGGACGAACATTGCGAGCGCACCACATGCGAGCGCACCACATCGCAAGCAGGTCCGTTATCTGTCGCGACCGGGCATCGCTACAAGAGGACTTAGAAAGGAACGACTCTACGCTCCCAGGAGGTGGAGGCCTCACGTTTGTTTCCAGCTTGACTTTTTTATCGCTCCCCGAAGTTCCAGATAACTCGTGGTCGCGAGCGGTTCGGTTCGGACATGGTTCCACAAATTCGTCGTTGTCCATCCATTGAAGGTAAGTACTTTAGAGCACAGCTTACACTTTGCCTTGCCCTTTTTGGGATCGTCTCTCAGCATATAGTCCCAAACAGACGAGCGACTGGGATGAACAGACATGACTAGGAAGTGGAAACAAAAACTACAAGTACAACTGCGCCAGGTGAGGAAAGAGATTGTCTCAATCCGCGAAGAGCTCCGCGATCCATTCTTGGCTGCGTGTGTGAATGCAGTTCGCACAGAAAACTTCAGCTTGTGAAAGGAGTCCCCGATCAAGTACAGTAGAGGTGCCAAATATGCATGCCAGTAGCAGCTATCAGTACGCGACATGCACTGCATGCATCGCGGATGTACATTCATGCACGTACTTTACATGATGCATGGCAGTACAAGGTACTACAAACCCCAATCGAACTGTACTCCTCGAATATTCGAATACAAGCGAAACGAAGAATATTCGTTACAAGACGTGCTCCGATCGAATATTCGAATAGTTCAAATATTTGTTTCAGCCCTACTGACAATATAGGACAAAAGTGACTTACGACGCCAATAATCCACCGAGTCAGATTCATGGTCTTCAAATGTGTCATCAAACGTCACGGCTAGCGGCTGTGCGGTGAACACACATGCACAAACGCGTATACATACATACATACATACATGCATGCACGCACACACAGACACACACACACATACACACATACGCAAATACAAAACAGAAAAATCCCACATTGTCTCCAGGGCCCTAGCACTCTGATTTTGAAAAGCTGACTCAATTCGACTTCGTGCAAAGCGGGTTTTTCGTCGATAGGTTCATTCGGGTCAAGCATCTTATTTGGCCAGATCACCTACAATCACGGTGCTACTTCGAAGTATGAACATGACTGGTCTCATGCTATTGTAGCGTTGGTCACACGTTGGTCACGCTACAAGCTCAGCATTTGCGTTTACGCTCAGCGTACTGTAAAAATACGACGTTCGTTACAAGCTCAGCATTTGCGTATACGCTCAGCGTACTGTTCATTACGACGTTCGTTCTACCATACAACGGTCGCATGACAGTACGTTGCTGGTTGTGATTATTTTCCATAAATTGTGTTTATTTTATCTTTCACAATGAGTTCAGAGTTTTACTGCTAGAGACAGTTTTGCCGTCTAGAGAGAGAGAGAGAGAGAGAGAATTGTATAATAAAGTAACACGATAGTTAGTTTCGAGTTGTTAGGTTGCTTTGCCTCCAGGCCCGCTACACTATCACTTCCACTGGTTCATTCTGACTCGATCATGACTCTCTCACTTTCTCCGTCTGTCTGTCTGTCTGTCTGTCTGTCTGTCTGTCTCTCTCTTGAGAAGATGGATGCACAGGAGCAGATTTTGTGCTGAAGAAACTTCAGGTGTACGGCAAGTGGTTGGAGTGGATATCAGTGATGTGGCAGGACCTCTCTTGGAAATCGCGTTTGTACGCCGTTAACAGTAAGGTGAGACAAGCGTTTCGGAGACAGCAACTTTAATACGGCAATCGAGAGTACTTGGTCCGGCTCATCGCAATTGTCGCTTATCTCCCACACACTTTTTGACAGGTAAAACCCAGTCCAATCACGATATCTAACTTACTTTTGCTTGGGAGGTTGTGATGGCAAGATCAAAGGAGGCACCAAAGAAAAATGATCGCGACTAGCGCTTTCAATCGCGATGTGTTTGACTTCTTTGGGAAGTGGGAATCTGGCCATTCACTGTCTGTGTTGCCAAAAAAAGCCAAGCGCAGCAACCCGAAGACCAGAACTGTAGCAGGGGCAACTGACATCCTGGAGAGAGTGATGCAGAGTTGAATGAACTGTAAGAGTGTTAGTGCAAGAACGCGCTCTTTCGCTGATTTATTTCGTGCATTTCGCTTACCCTGCTTCCTTTCTTCGACTCGCTTCACCTGATTCCATTGCTGAAATTTTGTTCTTGTGGCGGAGAGTATTCATTAGGGGTGAAACGAATATACCGAACATTCGAATATTCGTTCGTTAGGCCACAGCGAACGAACATTCGTAGTTCTCACGAACATTCGAACTTTGAGAATGTGCGTACGGTACGATAAACCCGTAAAAACATCGCGATCAGTCACGATCGTTCCACACACCGCCTGTAGAATATGTGTAGCTGCGTGCTTGTGACCAGCGCTGCGCCAGGTGGTAGATCCACACGATCCGCGCGCGCGCGCGGTTCACGATCTGAACCTGTACTTGGCTGGAGTCGAGGCGACGACATGTAGACGAACATCGGAATAAAGCACGAGTACTCGTACACATACTTACATATTTTTGCTGCTCGCTCTTCCTTTGACTACTTCGTAGTTTTCTTTTGTTTCGAGTTTGCACTGTTCCCATGTCAGAAACTGTTTTCGGTCGTGCTCCCCGTTCTGTTGTTTGGGATCATTAACCCTTTCAGCACGGCCAGGGTGTGCAACTGACCCGCGGAGCTAAAACCAGTGATTTTCGTGATTTTCCAAAAGTAGTCCTATTCACTCACAATTTTTTCTGCGGAATGCATGTTCGCACGCGACATCTATGTACTAGTACGCGTGCATAGCGGCACACGTGCGCCCGTCAGTACTATCGTAGAACAGTCGACGTTCATCCAGCACGTCACTGGTCCACGTAGGGATAAGATCCGTCGACCACGGATGTCTCGGGAGTACGTTCATTTTCACTGTACGCATCACGTATATGAGCCAGAGGGCGCTAAAACATGACCACGGCTTTTTTGGAAAAAGTCGAGAAATTTGCTATTTGAATTCCGCGGCAAAAAATACGAAGTGCAGTGCAACGCGAGTCGCTGTTGTTGTTCTCCTCGGTTGACTGGACTGTTCCGGATGCATTTCTTGCAAGTAAGTTTATTTGTTGAGTTTGTATTCCATGTGGCGCGGAGTCGCCTAAAACTGATCGTCATCGATGTACTGACGGACGAGCCTAGTAGTAGTAATGTACTGCGGAGCGGAAGAAGACGACATCCTCGCACTCCACGCGCAGGATAAAATATTTTGAGGATTCGGGTCGGAAACAGAAGGAACACGATGATGGCTACAGCGACGAGTCATTTGAGGGCGACACTTTCATCGAGCGTAAAATAATTGATGCTGGTAGTCCCACGATTTGCAGTGACAAGGAATTCTACTCTGATGACAACCTGGCAAGCGATTGGCATCGACACTGACTTGGGAGGTGAGTCGGCCGGTGATTTGGCCAGAATGGACATCGCTGCACATGTCCGGGACAATGCCAGTATTGGTTGCAAGTGCAAAAACAATCAATTGACTCTGCTGCTCCCTCAACTTGCTCCAGTCGATAATTTGAGTACCCTTATGCGAAAAATCGCTAGCACGAGCAGTAGGCAGCGAAAGCAGTACACTCTGAGGAGCGGAGAAAACCGTGTGCAGGTGGACTTTGGTGTGGGGAATATGAGTGCGACGTCGAGTATGTTGAGGAAGACTGTGTGCAGCAGTGTATACTGTATATCTGAAAGTACAGGTGGAGTGTGATGGAGAGGACGTGGAGTGCCAACTTCTTCGGCCATCTACAGATGTTGACGGTGTTTCGCTGGCGGTTCTCCAGTGGTGCTCGAACCAGGAGGTATTTCGGACACCCAGCTCAGCTGCCTATAGAAACTTTGGATGTGGCCGAGTACCTGTCAGCTCATGCTATACGACCCTAGACAGAGGAACTGACCCGGAAAGGATGAACCAAGGGACATCTCAACGGTGTGCAAAAATGACAATCCCATTGCTGTACATAGAATTTCACCATTTCAACAGTGCTGCATATAATACCATTGTAGCAACACTTAGACATGTCAGATCAATCCAAAACTTTCAGACAGCGAACATTAGGTGTGTTTGATCATTTTTGAACAAAAAACTGAAATCGAATTTTTGGTCTGTGGTCATATTTTAGCGTGCTCTGGCTCATATATACGTGATCCGTGGGCCAGTTACATGTACCATCACGTACATATACGTGATGCGTGCTGAAAGGGTTACTCCGAGGATGAGAAGTCAGCTACCTGCAGGATTTCCCGCAGCGTATGTTTAGTATGGCAAAACGGCGAGCAACCTCTATGCGCACCTGAAAGCACAAGGTCAACTGCGGTAGCTTTCAGCCTTCTTCTGTCGTCTCTGGGAGTGCAATTATTTCTACGCCGTCAACACTGAACAGGAAGCAAGTAATTAGTTGATGACAAACGTTGCTGTGACGCAACGTTCTGGTCCTCAGCAGTAGCAGTATGGCGTTGCTCAGTTGGCCGTTGTGCCTCAACTTTTGAAAGCATCATAAAAGACGTACTGTGAAGTTAGAAACTTTCGCAAGTGATTAAATTTCGCTACTTTCGCGGCCATTACGCATTCTGGAGAAGAAAACCCCCCCACAAACTGCTCCGTACGTGCATTGTAGACAGCACAACTACAAGATTCAAAAGAGGTAAAAATCGCAAAATGTTCTCATCACAAACCAGTCGCATTCATGAAAACGCAAAATTTGTGCGCCACAAAAGTTTATTGCTATACTGTATTCAAAAATTCCACTATTTTCTTGCCATACCGGTTCGTGCGCGCGCGAGCACGCGCGTGCGAGGAGAAATGTTAGAGAATGTTCGTTCGTTCGTTCGTTAACATCAAAAACGTTCAAATACTCAAATTTTATGTTCGTTTCAGCCCTAGTATTCATGTATCATGCTTCCTCACTATGCCCATTGGAAATTTCACTGAGCGGTAAAAAAACTCCTGTTCTTAGTGGCGATAGATAAGCGACAATTGCGATGAGCCGGACCAAGTACTAACTGTGCAGTAACCATGCTTTCTTACAATAGCAACGAACATGCGAATATTTTACTGTTGCTAAGCGTTTGCTAGGCTTTCCGGACTTCAGGACTGGGCACAAGTCTTTAACTAGTAAAAGGTGCAAGGGATAATGATCAACCTTGCGAGTTTGAGTCAAAGCATGCGGACTCACCGCACCCACCGCTTTAGGAGCTGCATCTGCGCCTTGATCCTTGAAGGGTGGTGGCGTTCCTACGGATGCGGAAAACCCGGCTTCCAGCCGAGTCTCACGCGAACCGTGAAATTTTTTTAATTAATGCGGACTCACAACAAAATGGCATCAACTCGAGCAAAGAGGAAGAAGAGAAAGGAAACAGCAAAACAAAAAGCAAAGACGGAGGATGAACGGCAACAGGACCAAAACTGGCAAACAAACCTGGGACATCATCATGCACAGACATCAAAGACAAATTGAACCGAGTCAAACTGGCATGAGCGACTCATGCTGCAGGACATCGCTGGGGTGATGGCTGAAATTCACCTTCCTCCGACTACCAAGCAACATCATGACAGAGTCACGGACTAGTGTGAAGCCAAGCTCACAGCGGATCCGTCCCATGAGGACGCTGTACGAGTCTCCGGTTGCCGCTGCTAGGCGAATGGCGAGACATTTCAACACATTCCGGGCCTCACCGCCAACTCCCCCGACAGAGGAGAACACCAATGGAGAGAAGCTGCCCCTCTCCACCCGCCGGATCCGCTCACCATAAGCCGCTTTCTTCTGCTCCTCATGCCATCTGTAGGTCGCAGAGAGGGACTTAGTCATGTAAGAGGACGCGCAGGGATAGAAAACCCTTATGTCAAAAAATGCATCCTCTTGCATGGACCAGAGGCCCCTCCCCTTGACGTCCAGTCTGGCCTGAGGGTCAGTGTTGGCGGCCCTTGGAAGAGCTTCACCAGCAAGGGGTTGAAGAACAGGCTCCGTCTCCACGGCATTGCACACTCTGCCAAGAAGGCCGGCAATGTAGTCCCGGATATGGGTGTGGCGGATGATGGGGAAGCATATCATGGCATGGTCGGTGGTGAAAGGCACACCACACAAGCAGGTGTCAGGGATACCAAGAACAGGCCACTCGTAGCGTGCAGCAAGAGCATCCTGGAATGACCTCCTGTCGAGGCTGAAGCCGTGTGCAGCGATGGGCAGGCACGGCAGCCACGAGCTGGCACCACGGTCGCAACTAGCTTCCAAGGAGCGCTTGTTGTGAAATGATGTGTTGTTTTCCTGTGTGATGGCATTCCCCAAACTGTCTCGTCTAGTCGCGTGCATGTGTGATATGAGCATGCGCGATGTTGTAGTCGAGAGTCCTTTTGTCAGTCTTCTTGTTCGTCCTTTTGAGTGTTGTCTCCATTTCCGTCTTGTCAATATAAATAATGTAATACAAACCAGTCTTGTCCTTTGTGTCCTGCGTCCCGGGGAACGGAATGGCTGTGATTCCGTTACAACGTGGTGCCGAAACCCGGGACGCAGAGGATGAGTAAGTTTGTCATGAGTCTGTTCGTCGTCGTCAACAAATAATAGTAAGCGTGGGGTGGCGGTGATCAGGAGAGATGAGGAGCTGGTGGAAGCGGAAGACGACGCGGAGAGGAGGCAGAGAAGGTGGTGGACCGGCAGAAGCTGGG